CAATAAACATGTAGTATGTTTTTTATATGGCGTTTGTATGTTGATAAGGAAAATGTATTATATAATTAAGTGCTTGTGACGCCTCAAATTAAATTGTGAATTGAATGGTCGACGAAAATCGGCTGTCAAGCGTGGACTGCATTTCAGTCAGCAAATTGTCCAGTTAAAAGATCGTTCTATTTAAAGAATAAGTCAAATTGTAACCTGTAAGATCGAGTTGTTAGTGAAATATTTAAGAAAAAGACCCTGCAGAAAGGCTTTGAATGTAAAGTTTCTTTGAATGTTCGATGTTATTGTTCATTAGGTTTAACGGAATCACTACCAAATGTATTCAGTAAATCAATTGTACACGCACACATAAGAATTAAGCAGAAAATGTATGAGCCACGTTTATGTTGGCGTAAAACAAATTTTATACGCGAGTGAACGACCAAAGTTTCGTGGTAGATATTTTAAATGTATAAAAAGATGGATCAAAGAACTCGCTCGAAAGCGATTCGTGAGATTTTATTGTAAAATAATAAATAATTTCATTACCGAGCCTCTATTTTTATTTAGTAAACTTAGTAACCCTAAAATATCGATATAAATCTTAAAATAAAAATGCTAAAGGCATCAAAGTATTGCACAAATCAATTACATAGTGAGTACCTACACATTACATCTTATATTTGTACAAGTTTTCTTCGTTTATGTATGCTGAAAAAACAATCAAAATAACAGACATAACAGGTGAACAAACATTACCCGATTGTTGACTTCGGAGTAGTAAAGAATGTCATCTGTAATTATCTACTCTAAATATGTGGTACTCTACTCCCCGTCCCTTTCACTCCCAATGGACAAGAACGAAACCGGAATAATCGAATAATTCGATACAATCTCCGTACAGTTATCATGTAACATGCAAATGAGAATTGCAAAATTGTCAGTTAATGTAGTATACATTGCTTACCGAGTTTCACGTTCAACTCTACATATAACGCATAGCGAGCAATGTACTTGTTGCGTTCAATAATTACATGAAACACATTGAGTAAGCGTTGACTCGGTACGGGTTTTGTCACAAAGGAATAATCATAATATATTGAATAAGGCAGAAATGTTATGAGAAAAACATTATGCATTTAATTGAAATATTTTGCTATTATACTTCTAAGATGAAGAAATTTTATAAGACGTACTTTTTAATTATGATAATTTTAAATGACATTTCGAACAACTACTCATTTATATATTACTAAAATTCCCAGAATTTAAAGATCACATTCTTGTAAATTAAAATTTAATTTAATTCCAAATTTAAAAATTAAACAAATGAATTGAGAATGGAATTTATTTTTAATTAATTTACTTAAAAATTGTATTCTTTTTGAGAAGCATTTGTTTGTTTTCATTTTTTTAATTATGGCAACATTTAATAAAAATGTTGAAACATTTTGCCAGCACTATAACATTTAAAATTATTTTGACCGCCATAGCAACATAAATGTAAAAACAAAACTTACCTTGTAGTAAATGAATTATCGTGCAATATGAAAGATAATTTAAAATATGTTTTTGTTGTCATGTATTTATAAATAAATCTATCGAAGCGTTACGTTACTTACGTAAGAGGCGAGGTAAATACCAACAATGAAATTTAAAAAGATCTATTTGTTCCACTATTAGCTGCTATTTTATAAATGTTTCCTGTCTTAGTCTAAGAGGTCATTAAATAAATATTAAAATAAACTTATTGTTATTTTATTTATCTATTTAATCTGCAATGATATTAGAAAAATCTAATCACTCTTGTGACGTTAGTTATCATATTTATGATAAAAAAATTACTTTAGTAGAAGAAATATGACTATTTTCTTAAATTATTAAAGATTATAAACAGCCATAAATGTTTAATTCTCTAACCTTGAAGATAACTGGTTTAGGTCGAAAGAAAAGAGATGACTTTTAACTATTCCATTAATTTGGGACGTTCCTAAGATTTTAAAAATAAAACTAATTAAGTACCTTGAGTTTATTCTATAATAATGTTACAAAATATTTTTAATTTACTTTGTCGAATACCGTTAGCCTCCGAGTAGCGCCATCTATCGCTAAGTAGCGTAAACACAAGTTCAGTAAATTAGTGATTGACTTGAATTATGACGCATGCTATCAGCCACTAACCTTGCGAACTAGGTTTATGTAATTAAAGATGCCTCAGTTTAGTATAACTAAGCGTGTAATTTCAGTTGTATCTTTGGATTAAAATAAAGAATTGAAATAAGGTGCCAAAAAGCCTTGCTAAAACTAAGCATTTTATTTATGCTTTCTTGGATAAATCCAATGTCAAGTGAACTGACGCTTCCACATCGCCGCAGATGAATAAAATGTGTCCCGAAACAGTCTTATGAGTAAATAATTGTTTTAATGTAATGCTGAGTTTCTGAACTTTTCATTTATTTTATCATTAAAATAAAAACTCAAGTTACGTAATTCATAACCTCATGTTATGAATTTGTCCAACCATAAGCAATATCAAATGGTTACAATTAGTTCGGAAACTGTCCATAAGTAATATTCAATTTATTCATTAAATAGCCAGGGGCTACTGGCTATTATTTGAATGCCTGTCAAACTACAAAAATAAAAAGCTGTCTATATCCTGTTCTTGTAGATGTTTGATTCCGTTTCCGTAATGTAATTATTTCCGAACGTTCTGAACTGCGTCTTTTTTATTCTGTATCAAAATGGATTATACAATAATAGACAAGTGTGGAAGAAATTTTAAACCTACCATAATTATAACTAACTTAATAAACATTATATCATTTAGGCAATATTTTGTTAATATAAATCTAGGCGAATTTGTGATATAAAATAGACCTGGCACATAGGCCACAAATTTGGAGCAGTCAATAAGAGAAAAAAAATCTGCAAAGACATCAAGAGAAGGCTAGTCATATATAGTTTTTGCCCTCAGCTCAATCCGCGTAGAATTAAAAAAAAAACAGTCGATGTGTTCTTCCAGACTATGCTCTACATCTATGCCAAATTTCATCGAGATCCGTTCAGCTGCTTAGGCAGCAAACTCTAACAAACATCCATCCATCCGTCTAAACATTCGCTTTTATAATATTAATATGATTAGCTTTCGCCCGCGACTCTGTCCGCGTGGAATTAAAAAATAAACAAAAGTAAGTAAACTATGTGTCCTTCCAGACTATCGATTAAGTCTATACCAAATTTCATCAAGATCCGTTCAGCAGTTTAGGCAGCAAGCTCTAACAAACATCCATCTGAACTTTCGCATTTATAATATCAGTAAGATAACAGAGGATCAAGGAATAACAACGGAATGAATCGTAACCTTACAGATTTATTGTATTAGAAAGTAGCAACTGTACAAGCACACGAGTGTAACGGAAACAGTTACACGACGTACTTACGTACGCGTAATTGTAAGAAGCCATGTGAACGTACCTTTATGACACGGTCAAATCGATTTCACTATTTACATACACGTGCGATAGTAAATACTGTGTAATTAATAAACGTAATAATTATCGAGTAAATATTATTATACTCTGATCTGATTCTAGCAATTTTTGCTATCTATACTAATATTACGAGGATAGATTTGCATTTTTCTATGTATGTAACTCAAAAACTACTGAGCCGATAGCAAAAATTCTTTCACCATTAAAAAGCTACGTTATCGCTCCTAAGATAGGATATATTTTTTCACAATTTATAATATAACGTGGATAAAATCGCGAGCAACAGCTATTGAGTATAAACGTGATTTTAATTTCGAAAAATAATAACTTTGTCTTTGCAATTATTTTGACAATGTGTAATTCAGTGATAACTGAGTAACAGGTATTTTTAATTTCACGCGGGCGAAGTCGCGTGCAATATAAAATGTAAAAAATACAGCCTATGTTGCTCAGTGATAACATAGCTTTTGGTACAAGAGATTTTTAATTCAGCTCGGTAGTTTTTGAGTTATTTCAATACATACAAAAGTACAAATCTTTCCTCTTTATAATACTAGTATAGATGACATCGATAAATAACATTGTAATATCTAATTATAAATGTGAAAGTTTAGATGGATGTATGTTCATTACTAAGATGAAATTGAACACTTAGAACATAGTCTAGTAGCCATACTTACCAAGTTTTTTTTTAAATTCCGTGCAGATTCAAGGGCAAAAGCTAAAATAATTTAAATAGTATAATTATGTTTTTACGATAACAGCATTTAATAAAAATATGGTCTTCTTTAGTTTTATCGAAACATATAAAGCAGAGTGCAGACAGTGCGGGAAGGGGAGGGGTCTCCTGTACAAACCCATTTCCAGACATCAGACGGTCTACGTACTGTTCTGTTGCGCTCACTAATGATAAAATCCCTTCAATCACTGTTTAAAATATACAAACTATCTTACAAAATTACCATTTTTGCAGAAAATTACAGTCGGGAAGCAAAGGTCAAATAGTCATTCTTTTTCGGTTTAGACTTTAAGGCTGAAGTCACTTGCATACCATCCATCAAGATTTTTAAATTTATCATATAAAAAAGAGCACGAAATTATAAGTTGGCATTTAGTTTATTCAAACATGATAGACTATTATGATTGCCAACTTTCAAAGATTAACCAATAACTACATGAAGATGAACAGTCTTTAAATAATAATAATATGTACGGGGAAAATAAATTGGTAATTAAAACCGTTTACGGAATGTCCCTAAATTGTTTCTCATCTCCGGGGAAGTCCGCACAAACTGAACACTGTGTGCAATAAATCTATACGCCACTGTCGATGCGTCGTATGAAAAATATTATCTAGCCGCGTTTTTGCGTAACTTTTTACGTCTATAACTGTTAGACGGTACGCTGATGTCAAAGAAATACCAACGCTGGTCATTACTCCAGGTTTCGGCAAAATCTATTTTTGACCGACTTCCCAAAAGAAGGAGGTATTCAATTCGTCGGTATATTTATTTTTTTTTAATTTTTTTTTTTTATGTGTGTTACGGCATAACTCCGCCGCTAGTGGACCGATTTGGATAATTCTTTTTTTGACCGACTTCCCAAAAGAAGGAGGTATTCAATTCGTCGGTATATTTTTTTTTTTTT